GCTATTCCCAGTTCCATCCCCACCTTGGCCTTCCTGACCGCTCCCCTACAGCCTCGAGCAACTGAGGTATAGTTTTCCCTGGTGATGGCCCCTCCCTTCCATTGGGTGTACGCCTCCCTTTTAGCTAGGAGACATTCTCATATGCTAATTACTTAATAATAAAGCTGAGAAGTTTCTAACACCAGTACACATTTCTTTACTGTACTAGGACTTTCTTTCATAACAAATTATTAAATACACAGAACTCAAGCCTGTAGTACTCATTTATAACAACCTTCTTTGTCACGCAATTACAATTTAAACAAAATTGAGAGAAAACATCTCGAAGTGATGATCTAGCTAAAAATCTGCTCCAGTGGCTCAAATGTATAGAATTTTTTATTTTTTGTGTGGGAGTTGATTTTTCTTATCCTTCCAGGAATGGCTTCTCTTAAAGTGGCCAGACCTCACAGAAAACTATCTATAGATATTAATTTCCGTAGAATTATTCCTCTCTCCTTTGAAATAAAACATGAAGGGGTTATTAACATTCGAGCCATTGCTTCGGCTTGTATTGAAATACTAACATTGTTGAACAGAAATGTTTTTGTAACACAGGCTTAACAGGAGTTACAGTTTCTGTCTGAATACAACAGCCAGGTACAGCCATTCAGTTTCTGCCAGAATTGGTGTTCTCGTGGTAAAAACCAAAAGTATATAGACATTGAGGCTTTTTTATTTTTTGAGCAAAAATGACCACCCCAAGAGATAACAAAAATAACATGGTAACAACCAGGGTTAAATCACTTCTGGGAGAGTTTCTCCTGGAAGACTGAACCTCTAAACACATTTCCCTGGCTTAATTTTTACTTGGGACTAGGATGAGCGGAGCTGGGGAAAAAGGCTCCATGTCTTCCTCAGGCTGGGTTTGCCCCAGTCTTAAGAAGGTATGAGGGGTGGAAAACAGGGAGTTAAGGGGAAGAGCAACCACCACTCTCTGCCTTTTCACCAAATGGGCAGTCCCCAGTTTTGGGAGGAGGCAGGGGGCTTTGCTAGCCCTGCTGGCTGCAGCTTTGCCACCCTCTGCTGCCTAGATGAGTGACATGTTCCTCTGTAAACAAACATTTTCTGACTCCCTTATTTTCCACCTACGAACATCATTTTCTGCAACCTGAGACTTATAAACCTACATAAAGTGTTAAGTTTGAGGCAATTTTGTTTCACTACCTGAGGCTGGCTGCTACCTTTTGGTGAGTGTTTATCCAACCCTTTTTATATCTCCTTCCATTTCAGGAGTGGAATTTTATATTAATCAATGGCATCCTTTCATCTGTGAGAGACGGGGGATATTGCAGCCTGTGATGTAGATGGTTCATAGTGTCTCATAGTCCAATCCAAGATTGGCATCATCTGTGGCAGTGGCTGCAAATGTATGTGTCGTGGTTGGGTGATTTAGGAGCTGCTTGCTTCCTATGGACTCTTTTCTTTTCAAGCTGTTGGAACCTATTCCTGTCATGGGCTTTAATGCCCCGGTGGAGAAAGTTATGCCACTTGTTCCAACTGCTCACTAGGATTTCCCATGGATCAGGATCAATTCAAAATGCCTTCATATCTCACTTTCATGTGTCTTTATAACAAAGCTTAAGGCATCCCATTGTTTTCGTTCCCTCCAATAGTTTCCCATATAGTAAGTCATTGGGTATACGTCTATCTTCCAATCTGCTCAGATGGCCTAGCTAATGCAGTCATCTCTGTCTAAGTAGGGCTGTCACACTTGGTAAATTTGCCCTTTGAAGTACCTCCGCAATGGTAACTTTCTTGCCATTTAATGTTGAGTATGCAGTGTTAATGGTGTAGGTGGAAGCTATTTAACCATTTTTCTTGATATGCGTAAGTTGTCCATGTTTTCCTACCATATATGAGTTCTGAGTACACAAGCTTTGTACACTAGCATTTTGGTCTTGATGGTAAGCTTTCAGTTGTTTCTTACTCTTTTAGTTAGTCTGCTGAAGGTGGTGGCAACCTTTCCTATGCGAACATTAAGTTCTTCATCTAGTGAGAGGTTGGTGGTCACTGTAGAACCTAGATAGCTGAACTTTTGGACTACTTCTAGCTGGTTCTTATTAAGGGTAATTGATGGATCTTGTGGAACTCCCTGTCCTAGTACAACTGTTTTCTTTATGCTGATAGTGAGAGCAAATGCCTGACAAACTCTTGAAAGGCGATCCTTGAGTTCTTGTGGTAGGTCTTCATTGTGGGCTGTAAGGGCAGCATCATTGTTGCATAAAAGCTCCTTGATACTCATCTTTCTAACTTTAGTCTTTGCCTTGAGTTGTGACAGGTTGAAGAGTTTCCTATCTGATCTTGTGTTAAGATGCACTCCACGTTCCATATCTTTAAAAAGCACAGTTCAGGAGTACCAAGAAGAAGATTCCAAAGAGCGTAGGGGCAAGGACACATCCTTGCTTCACTCCACTTTTCATCTCAAAGCTGTCTAATGTAGACCAATCAAACTGAACAGTTGCTTTCATGTTGTCATGGAAGGAACATAAAACACTTAACAGAATTGCTAGGCATTTTGTAGGACTGCAAATCAGCCTGCTGTGCTGACAGTGTCAAATGCTTTGGTTAGATCTTTGAATGGTCGGTTTTGCTCTCTGCATTTTTCTTGAAGTTGACGCAGGGAGAATATCATGTCTAGGGTTGATCTTCTGGTCCTGAATCCGCTCTGAGATTCCAGGTAGACACGGCTCGCCAGCTGTTGTAGGTACACCAAGATGACCCTTGCAAAGGCTTTTCCTGCTATGCTTAGTAGCAAGATACCTTTGTAGTTGTTGCAGTTGCCCTTATTTTTATACAAAGTGACAATATTTGGGTGATTTGAGAGGGGCAATTTTGTTGACAGTATAGAGCACCATCTTTTGAATCCCTTATTTTCCACCTACCGACATTATTTCCTGCAAGCTGAGATTGTTATAAATCTACATAAGGTGTTTAGCCTGAGGCAACAATTTTTTTTCCACTACCTGTGGCTGACTGCTGTCTTTTGGTGGGTGTTTATCCAACCCTTTTCATATCTCCTTCCATTTCAGAAATTGAATTATTTATTAACACACAGCAAATTCCTTGTCCTTCTGAAAAGGTAACCACACTTTGAGATCTCAGGGTTAAAAAGCTTATAATCACTCTAAAGGGATTGATTCCTTTTTGCAGCCTTGACTGTGGCCATGTTCTATGTCACCTCTGTATAGCATCTATTGTCTTCTATACCTGAATACAGGGTTAGGCAAGATGTACAAAGAAGTTGTAATCTGGGACTGCACAGATCAGCTAACTATTTACAGATCTACTCTCTTTATAATATCCCAGGTAATGTTGCTTAAGCCAGATCTACGATTGCTTAAAAGAATTTGTGGATTTGTGCATGGGAAGCAGTTATAATATCCAAATCCCACTTGGTGAACCCTGTAACACAAATGTTGAAATTGAGTGGTTATGAAACTATGCTTCACAGCCCGCTGGTGCTCCTTGGAGGATTGGCTGGTTGTGTGGTGCTGGCTCCTGTCTCTTGTTTCTGGCTGCTGTGTTAAATTAAAGAAGTCTAAAAATACATATGTTTCCCAATATAGATCTTCTACTTAGTTCTGTAATTGCTGTAGTTAACACATGGATGCTATATAATTACATATGGGTGGGGATGTAATTCATATGATGATGAAAGCGAGAAGCAGAGTAGCCATGGGCTGATGAGGAAGATGTGATCTTTGCTATTAGCAAGTTTGAACAACACTGGTTTAAGTCTAATGATACTTCTTTGCCAATCTGAAACAAAGATGGAAACATGACATCATGCAAATAGACTATTTTGTTTTGAATTGGGTCTAAAGTGATTTAAAGGCAGCTTGTCTTAAGTGGCAAGCTTTGTTTAATCATAAACTTATAGTATACAGCATTGTTTTCTAAACTATTGAATGTGTGATCTTGATTTCAGAAGTGTAATTAGCTTTGGTTATTTTGAAATATGCCTTTTTCAACTCCATTGTTCTTTGGGGGGAGATGGGGCAGGAATGACTGTTTGGAGCAGCTGGTCCCACTTCTCTTCAGTGGAGGGTTCCTTTTATTTGAATTACCTAACACAGGGGCTAGCAACCTACAGCCTGTGGATCAAATTTGGCCCACCTTACCGCTGGATCTGACCCATGGGGTTTCAGCAACATTTGGGGGTGGGGGCTTTGATTGCGGGCACTCTCTTCATGTCTCCATAGGAACAAGTGCCAGGGCTGACCCCCTCTGACCTAGGTTGGGTCATTCTGGCTCACAGCTGGAAAAGGTTGCCTACCCTAACTTAACCAAAGTGAAGTTTCCTGTGGGACAGAGTGGAGGGGTGGGTATTATCAGGCAGAGATGCTTAGGATTGGGGCAGTGGAAGAGGAAATTTTGAAGTTTTACTTTATGAAATCTATCCATTCTCTTTAGTATTGCACCCCTCCAAAAATTCTTCTTATGCACTTGGATCAGAACATTGTCCTCATCTCAGAAAAGGAGCAATGCCAATTCCTCAAGGCTGCCTACAGCAGAAAAATTGGGCTTGACCATCATGCTGGTTCTGACCTTTTTTTTTACAGTAGCTTTAAGCATAGTTGGTTCAACTGCTATAATGCTGTCAAAGGTCAGGGCACTGTTGTATTATAACGTAGTACTTTATATTATAATTTTTTGTTAGTGAAGATAGGCATGTTGTATAATGCCTTGCTGCTTGGTAAGCTCATCAGCCTATTACTCTAATGATATCTTATATCACTTCTTAAATATTCAAGTGTTAGGTATAGATTGTTGCTTGAGGATTTATCTCCTTTGAATGATAACATATTTGTGGGATAAAACTTGCAGGAAACATCATTAAATAAACTTCTGTCTATGGTATGCTTGAAGTTCTTACCTGTCAAATGTTAATCTATTTGATTTAAATTTTGGCTGGTATCTATGGTTACCCGAGTTAATGGGATATACAGCACTTATGGATGAATTACTTCATCTATTTTTAGACAGAAGAATTTAAATGAGCAAATCCATCAGATATGCTTCAAGCAGCTGTTAGTTTTTCATATGGTTACCTCAGTAATGCATTTAAAAATCTGGAGAACGTTCTGTAGAATAATTGTTTTTCAGAGTATTAGCACTAGATTTATCCCCACAGGACAAAGTATGTAGCTTAATTTCTGTAGGTATACATCTGATATTTCTAACAGGTGTTTGACATAAGTTGAAATGGGTTCTGGGGAGGGAACCACAATGACTTGTTCAATCAGTTTTGAAGGGATATATGTGTAAATGAGAGAATGTCTTCTCTCTCTCCCCTCTCTCCTTCTCCTCTCCCCCATCTCCTTCTCCCCACCCCCTTTAAATGAGGTAGGGTTAATGGGTTTATTTAATTTCATTGAATGAGTGCATGCAATAAAAAGTGGTTCTACTATCAAGGTCTGTGTTAGGATATAACATGAACATCACAAGATTCTGAATTTTTAAAATATTACCATATCTTATGCTGAAAAAGTACTTAAGGTAACCTGGCTTTTGTTCAATCAGATTGCAGGAAGTACTATGTTTCACTGTAATAACACCATATCAGGGGACACAAATAAGATTAAAATAGAATTCAGTCTACTTTTAGATGATAAAACTAATTTAACCACGTCCCGGAAAAGTGAATAAAGCCTTGGATAGAGTAATTCTGTCACATAGTTCAGGATAGAGTATTTTAACTGAGTCTAGCTAGAACTCATTAAATAAAGCACTTATGCAAATGTATATATTTTTGAAGTAGCCAACTGATTATTGTCAGGATAACACAATAATAAGAATTGTGGGTTTGAATTCAAAGTTTAAATTTCTGAATGTTGGAAACTTGTTCCAGTACAAATGTGTAGGTGACTTCTACAGCATTTCTTTAAACTTGGATTGGGTCACTTCCTTTTTTAAGCTTCTATTATTATGGTATTAGGAAAATGACCTGATTTTACTGAAACTAAACTAAAATAGATATCAAATTAGAATATGTAACTGCAGCCAAAAGTGGCTTCCAGCACAAAAGTAGGAAAACTAAATAATCTTTATTGAATGCGGTTGACCAGAACTTCAAGTCAGAGAAATGGAATAACTTGTATTAAACTAGTTACCAAACTAATCTGAAGAAAGATGAGCCTCACAGTATGATTTTTTTATGGAATAAGTGCTTACAGCGTGTATACCCAATGTAACTTCTAATCTGTTCTGTATCAGTTCTGTTCTATTCCTTTATCTTTTATGTTACTTCCTTTTCTCACCTTTAATACATGAGAAAATAATTCATATTGTCATTTATTCTGTTTACATTTGGTAAAAAAGTAAATTTGTATTGGATTAACAGACCAGTTGACAAGTTTCAGGTCTGCTGTGGTACATACCTGCTACTAATGCTGAGCAGAAGATTTGTGACTCAGTGCAGCAATAATTGATTAGTAGTCTGTCTATTTTATCATCATTCTTAGGAAACCACAATCTGTGCTGTGGATAAGGATTCCAAGAAAACTCATAATTTTTCTATTATTAATCCTGTGGCTGGAGAGGCTGTGACTCAAAATTTTGCATCTGACAATAGGGAAGAACTTCATAAGTGGATGGAAGCTTTTTGGCAGCATTTCAATGATTTTAGTAAGTAAGCAGTTTTGGCAGCATTGTCCTTCAAGTGGTTATTATGTAACATCAAAGGAACTGAAATTTCATCACAATCCTGTTATTTATAACAGGAAAGATGGAAGTATTTGCCTGATGAGTTTATTGTACTATGGCTCAGTCCTCTATAATCTTTAACTTCTTTTATTAATACTAATGTGCCCAGAAATGTCCAGTATGGACTTCCTTAAGTAGTCAGAATAGAAGTTTGGACTACTTTCAGTGTGTGTTGGGGCAGGAGCAAGGAAAAGTGGGGAAGGGGATCCTGAAGTGCTTGGTCGGAAGTGATTGGTCTAGGTACCTTCTTTGGAACACCAGTACCTTTCCAAGTGTTGGTGGAATCTCACCATCCTTCCCTCGTTTGTAGTAAATAAAGAAAAACTCTTATAGAATCCTGAAAACAGCATCTTTTCAGTAAGAATAATTAGAGGAGATTTTGAGTGCTGACTTGATGGAAGGCCTGAGCAGTGTATTGGAAACAATATTTGATCAATCCTTGCAAATAGAAAAGGTTCTATAATGACTTGGACTGAACTGGATGGGATTATGATACCACTGAACTCCTAGTTCTTGTGCAGTGTTGGAATTCTTCATTTTATAGAACTGAGAAATCAAGGATGACTCAGTTTCACTGGTACCTCCTCAGTGGCAGGTGCAGCTTTTGTGCCCAAGGGTTATATGAGAAGATGGGTGTATGAGCAGGTGAGTGATCCTAGATCCGCCTCCTTCTGAACTCTCCGCCACAGCTTGGATCGAAAGAAAATGTAGGAGGTATCAGTGGCCTTTTAGAGCTAATAATCAGTTTCCTTAATTTAAATTCTCAAAATCCCGTTTGAGGATTTGGGGGCATACATGAAGGTTTAGCATTATAGTCTGGTAATATTGCTGAGATTAATTTAATATCTGTTTGTTACCTTGTGGTAAGGGTTAGGAAGAGCTTACCTGGTGGGACCAAACATTTACTGCGTAGATTTGCCCGTTTGGAGGAAGTTTGAAAATATAACATAATTATTTAAAAATGTTCAAAAGATGAAGTGTATAAATTCTAATCATTGTTTTATATTCCCTCCCAGGCCATTGGAAACATTGTTGCAAAGAATTTATGAAAATTGAGATTGTCACCACGGAAACTACCTACCACAGAAACCACCTTTGTTCTTGACAAGAGGCAATCTTATTCTACCATGATATAAGTAAGTAGGATTTGTCTTTTCAAGTTTTGCAGGGTAATTGAAACAACATTATCTGTATTCAAATGGCTTCTGGTGTTGATGTTGAAACACTGAATTTTTCAAGGGTGATTTCAGATAATGAAACAGAGCAACATCATTGCATACCAAGCAGTTTGTATTATATATGAATTAATAATAGCAAAAAATAATGAATACACTTTCATACCTTGAACCAAAAAATGCAGTCTGAGCTATAATTAGGGAGCCCTTAAAACATTCAGACAAAAAAAAGCTATTACTTGAAATAAACGTTTACTACAGGAATAACTTAAAACCCAAAGAATGAAAATGTAGGAGTTTTAAATAGTTCAGACTGCAGACCAATAATGCCTGGAACTAGTTACATTAAAGTAATTCACAGTTTTCCAAGCTTTGTAGTAAGTACTTATAACTTAACACACTGTTCAGTCTATGACAACAGCATTAAGACTAGGGTATGTGAAAAAAATCTTTCTTAAATGCATCTGAGCTATGCTAATGTAAAATATAATGCCAGAAGATTACTTGTATAAATATGTTAGAGAGACAAGTGTTTGCAGTCTAGAAGTAGGTTGCTTTATTTCACTGAGTCTCATGTGACATTGTCCAGGAAATAATGTGCGAGTATATATGCCTGGTTGCCTGCATCAGGAGAGCTACGTTGCAAAGATTCCCAAATTGACATGCTAGTCATTGAGTTATAATGCATCAGTGTATTGAACAATGTAAAAGTAATTCCTTTTGAACCATTAATACAGAGGAAAAAAAAGCAGTAAATCAACTATAGAGGAGTCCTATGTAGGCAATGTGGTGAAGTACTGTCGCATATACCTGCATATATTTAGAGAGTTAATTGAAGAATATGGACTTAAATTTGAAACCACTCTTAAAACTTAAGTGCATTTTTATGACCATTCATCACTACAAATCCAGCATCTAGATTCTAAAAAAATTGTTTTAAAAGTTGTGGATATAGGGCCTGTGAGAGATGCATGATCCTCCTGCTCTTTTTGATCCAGGGTTTAGGACAAATGCCAATGATTACACAAATGGAGAAATCAACATACATTGAATGTGGTTTGTCCTATACACTGTAAATTATGTGGTGGTGGTTTGGAGAATAATGAGAGGAAAGGAAATGGGTCAAGGCTATCTTCAAGTATTTGAACACAAGACTTGAAGGTAAAAAATGCCCTTTTTGGTGGGCTAGAGGTGCAAAAATATTTGGCAGTTTTGACTTTTTTTTAATTGATCCATGTATTCTATGCACTTTTCTAAAATGAAATATTCAAAGCATTGAACAATAAAATGTATTACATAGAATCAGTTCTCCTAATTTTCTCATTGAGCAAAAATAAAAAGATCATCTTCTCTGGGTGCATCTACACAAAATGCTTTACTGCAGTTGACTAAATTAGCTCCTCAGTAAAGCCTCACCGTCTACACATGCACCCGTATTAGCCTGGAGTAAACTAATTAATTCTCTCATAGGATAGTACTGGTACTAACTCCACCATAGGATAATATACAAGTACTGTCCTATGGTGAAGTTATTTACTCCACCGCAACATGCATGTAGATGGTGTCCGGTGCTTGCTAGCCCTGCACTGTAGCACCTTCATGCCCCAGCCAGCCTCTCCACAGCATGTTGAGCTTGGGGGTGCAGCTCCAGGCTGCCAAGCAGACACCACCCCCCACCCCAGGGCCCCTTGCCTGCTGGGACTGTACTGCCTTGAATCAATATGCTGCAGTTTGCATTTACATGTACACCTGAGAACAATAAATTCCAGCTCAAACTGCACCAGAGTTTATTGTGCCTCATTAATATCACATGTAGACATACTGTCTTTAAGTTAAAATAAATAGAGCACTTGGTGTTCACAACAGTTAAATGCTGGTATTCCTGATGCTGTCATAGGAAGCTTCTAGTCTTTTTCATTTAAATGTATATCATCTTCTCTATTTTTGGCTCTCCAGAATTTGGGGAAAATGATACTATACTTCTATATTCATAAGACTGATAACCAAGCTGGTATGAATGAAGTTGTTGTATACTAATTTAATCAGCGTTCAACCAACTTCTAAAATTATAGGCATTGATTCACCAATGAAACACAAGAGCTTAGTTGACATTATACAAAGAAAAATTGAGGAAACTGATGGAGAGTTCCTGATCAGCCAGCAGAAAGAGTCTATACCTTCTCTGTGGGCCCCCATATTTGCTGGTGCTCACCAGATGCTTGTCCAGAAAAGTATTGTACTTCCATGTGAGACTACTAGTCCTGATGATAGCAAAGGGAAGAAAAGAAGAGCTCCACTGCCACCAACTGATAAGCCACCATACAGCTCAAAAACACAGATGAACACAGACCAGCTGGACAAGGAGAACTTTGGAAACAAGTCTGCCATTACACATAGGACCTCTTCTTTTGATTTGAAGTTATCTTCCGTAATGCATCACTTGCAGAAGCCCATTGCTGCTCCTCGCAAACTGGGACCTTGTGGAAAAAGAAGCCTACCTGACAGTGAAAATCCCCTTTTTTCAGTTACTGAGAGTTTGAAGCCAAACCAGTACCAGCTCCTAGGAAGAAACCTGTGAAAGAAATGCTAGACCCTAGATCCTGGATGGAGTCGCAAATGTAACATTTAAGCCCTGGAGAAACATGCTGTTTGAGGTGCTCCAAATAACAAAGTTAGAGACCTGTGGCTGAAGAAGCACTTCAAAAATGGCCAAAGTATTTCAAATATGACCTTAAAAAAACAAGTAACACCTTTTAAATGCTTCCTGAAATATCTGCATATTCCAACTGTCTTTCAGCATCCCATGGTGCTTCATTAGCCATCCCCATGCCCATGGGTCACTAGGGGCGGTGGGGCAGACAGGGAGAGAGGCATGCAGGAATTCCTGCTCTCCAGCCCCCTGGAGAGGTGGAAAACAGAGGTGATATCAATCTTATGTGGTGCTGAATTTAAAGTGCTCTAGGATTTGGAGTGTTTCAGATGCATGTCTGTCCATGGCCTTAGTTTAAAAATGTGCTCAGAATATAAAAGAACAATTGATGTCCATCAGTGATGTAAGCCTTTTGCTAGAACTTTGTGGCCATTAGAACTAATTTTTAGCATTAAGTTAATAAATGTGCTTGATTGGCAATGTCGCGCCCAGATGCCGGTGCACCCTTGACCTGCGAGCCTGGGTCGGTACGACCGGCTTGGCGCGAGGGGGGATTTATGACCGGACAGACGGGTGTTAATGGCGAGCAGGAGTCAGATAGTTAGATGATTTAAAGCGTATTGGTTACACAGAAAGTTTATTTTACTTACGCTACTGATAATTGATTGCAGCGTAGGCAAAAGCAGTTGATTTCTTAGTTACAGCATGCAGATGTTCTGTCACCCAGCGATTTACAGTGGGTTGCAGACTTGCTGAGTACAGGTTTCAAACAGTTTACACAAATTACTACGGTCTGCAGATTACCGAGAGCTCTTGACGAGAGGGACGTACAAAAGATAAGATGAGACGAAAAGAGTGAGCCGGCAAGAACGGGGTTACGCCAGAAGAAAAAAATAAATAAAACTAACCGGAGGCAGGAAGATATTGTTTGTAACTGATCAGGTTACAAGCTGTGTCTCTTGGGAATGCTCCGAGATCTCCGCTTTGGGCGGAAGTTCTTTCCAAGTTATAGGAAACAGAATAGCCAATTATTTCACGCCTGGCATGAATAATTAATGAGTTGGCACTTGTGCTCTCTTTGTTTGCTAAAGTTTCATAAAAAGGGGGGTTATATTTTTGCTTGGGTGGTACTGGTCCTGTTTGGTCACAAGAGGGCAAGCATAGTATATTATTTAATTTTACAATTCTGTTAAACTCAGCCAATTTGGAGTTTCATTTTTATCTGGTTACTATGGGTACAGTATCTCTCTTTGACTAGGCTGCAATTTGTTCAAGGTTAGTTTCTCTCTCGTATGAGAAGCTCAAGTGATTTAAAATGAGGCACAAACAGGGGTGTGAATATGCAGCATTGTTACAAACTAAAAAATAATAGTGTGAGACTACAATTACAGAGTTTGTTGTGTTAGCTTCTGACCTTTTGCCATCTGACCTTTTGCCATCAGCATCTGAAATCAAAGACTTTGATCTTTGACAGGCAAAAGTCTCTTATTTGGCCTTGAATTTTTCTGAAAACTTAGCTTTGTTTTTCCTAGCTAAGATGTGAAGAAATTCCCTAGCAAAGAAGACTTTTTGGGTGTACAGAGGAAGGAAAAACATGATTGTGCTCAGAAACTAATTTCAGGTTTGTCTTAAGCAGATCTGATACGCAGTCGCCAAGTTTATCAGTTAAGTTTTTTAGGAGTTGGTTCGTTTTTGAACAATCCTGCCAACTCAGTCTGCAATCTGTGAGGTTCCTTGTCATATGCTGTCAGAATAATAGGCCAGGATTACTGAAGCTGGCTTGCTAGTTCTGATAGCACATAATAGTATAATATGATAGTGTGGCTGCTCATTCTACACCAGTAATATGTTAAAAAATCCTATTACTTTAAGATGGGCAATATTTACCAAAAATAAATTACTATACACAGCAAGAAGTTTTTAAGAGTAGAGTGTTCTATTTGTTGTCACCTTTATAACTGTAAGGGATGCATGAAAACCCTCCATGTCAAAAAGATCTATTTCATACTACTCCCTAGCAGCTTGTGATAGACAGAATAATTGTATGCAGGACCTTGTACTAGAATGTAGTTAGGGGTTTCTCCCTTGTGTTCTTTAACTCCTTGAGACAACATGTGAATGTAGTGAAGTCAGACAACTCCTTTGTGCTCTATTGACTACTTGTGGCAAGTATAGAATCCTGTGAGCAGGAAATTCACTGGGACTGCTGCAGGAAACCTGCAGTAGATAGGAAGATCTTCTCTTTCTGATAGAGTGCAAGACACTACATTTCCCCCTGGAAATGGTCAGCACCTAGGTGAGGGGATGCATTTGTCAATCCTCAGATAACTATGGATTCTGTTTTGAAAGTCATACTAGTAATTTATGCATACATATCACTCAGTTGCAGACAAGACCAGTCTGCAGTAAACCATTGCCTCTGAGGTTAAAGGGCAAGGGCTTAAAGTGTTATAGTAATGGCAGTCTAATATTCCATTGACCTTGACGAGTTTTGAATTGCTGATCTTTGTTTAAGAAAAGGAGGATTTAATCCTGGGTAGAGGTCTGGAATATAGAACTCACTAGCTGAAGACCCTAATTGCCTATCTTTGTGTTCCTGGATAGCTTTGTTTTATATGTTGGATTTTAGTACATGAGAAAATCAGACTTTTTTTTTTACTAATAGAAGCAGTTAGTGTTAGATGCCTTTATACAGTTATGAAATTCCTGGTATATAGCTGGTTGTTATCTGCTGTGCTACATGATGTCATTTATTAAGTTTTTAAAAATCTTGATACAGTTTTAAAGTACTACAAGCTCAGATCTTTATAGCTTCTCAATTTTGTATTTTTATCCTCATACATATCCTCTTTGCTGTAGCCTTGCAAAGGGATCTGCAAGCAAAAACCTTATTCTGTATTAATTTATTGGAGAGCATGTGTGTTAAAGTATGTGTTTTATATGCAAATCCCTTTGCAGGCTGGGGGCCTTTGGTTTCTAGAAAGCTTCTGCTCATTTTATATTTAATCAGGACCCTATTTTTTCTATGGTAACTGTGCTCAATCTTTTAACAAATTGTAAAGGATTGTTTGTAGGTGGGGAAAAAAATAACAGGCAGAGAAAGAAAAGAACATATACATGATTGGTGTAAATTGGATGCCCTCAGAAAAGTGGACTGCAAATACTGTAGACAAAAATAAGGGAAGAAAAATACAGAAATAAAATGCAGAAGCAAATACATGAAGTGTGATTTTAAGGAAGATAGTAATGGACTATTCTTTGTGGCTGCAGGGGCAGGGCAAGAAGTAATGGTCTTAAATTACAAAAAGGGAAATTTAGGCTGGATAATGGAGAGAATTTTAAAGCTTATAAATGAGCATGTTACTTAGGGAATTGTGGAGTCTCAGTCCTTGGAAATTTTTAAGAGCAGATAGGGATAATAGTTGGCTGGGATGATTCAGACTGGAATGATCCTGACTTGAGCAGGGGTTGGACTTAGTAATATACTGAGATCCTTTGCAGCACTGTATTCCATTTAGAAATAGGTTATAGGAAAAGTCTCTGTGACGTATTGGCAACTCCTTTGCCTTCAAGTGTTAAACTGTTGGAATAAAAAGTACATTTTTCAGTTTTTGACCACATCACCTCTATTAGGTTACTTTATTCCAAGATATATTTCTAAGATTTTTAAGGTCAAAGGAACACTAATGATGATTTATTCTGGAATTCATCAGGCCATTGAATTTTACTCAGCAATTTCTCCATTAAGCTCAGTAAAGTTGTTTTGCACTGCAACGTATCTTTATGCTGGCTTTCAATATTGATTTAAAGATGCAAAGTGTGATAGAATTCATCAATACCTCCCTTCATGAGCTGTTTCAATGGTTAATTACTCCTGTGTACATTTTTCACATTTAAGTTTTGAATTTTTTGAGCTTCAACCTCCAGCTTTTACATGTTATACTTTTGTCTCCTAATACAGAACCGTCTGCTAATATTTTTTCTTATAGGCAGGCAATTAGATCACGGTTGAGTTTCCTTTTAACCTTATCTTTAATAAGCTCAATATCATTACCTTAACTAGGGTTGTGCTTGTGGTGCACAGGCACTGGGTGCCCTCACACGGAGGGGTACAAAATCAAATTGAAGTAATATTATGTATTAGCATGTAAGGGGGCACTCTGCACATGACCTGCACTGAGTACCAAACTGCATGGGTATGGCTCTGCTTAACATATTGAATTCCTTAAATATCTTATTGCAAGGAACCTTTTTCTTTCAAAGCCATAATTGTTCTTAGAATTCTTCCTTGAACTTATCAACTATTTAAACATCTTTTTTGAAGTGCAGACATACAAAACTGGAAGTAATATTCCTGTAATGATCTCCTAAATACTTGTGTGCATGTATGTGGTCTCTCTTTGTTGTTCCTGTATGGATCATGTTTTTGCTCTTTGCCAGAGCATTGCGCTGAGAAATAACATTCATCACACAGGTTGCCTCCCAAGTCACTATATTCAAGATTGTCATTCTTCATCCTAAAATTGGCCTACTTTTTTTCTGAGATAGATTTATAACTTACATTTGGCTGTATTACATTTTGTACCAGCTCCTGAAGTGATTCAGATTGCTCTTTATAACCTACCTGTCTCATTCTTGACTAGTCAGTCAAGCTTTGGCAGCTTACTACCAGTCACTTTTACACTTTCTTTGAAGATTAAAAATTTTGAGGTAATGGTGGATTGAGAACTGACCTATCTGAGGTCCCACTATTGATGATTCCCAATTAACATTGTATTTTAAGAGCAGCCAGTTGGTTCACTGAATATGTCTGTATTGATTTATAGTGCCAGTATTTTAATCAGAATGGGGTGGTCATTTCACACACATTGCAGAAATAAATGCATTACATCAGTGCAGGTACCCATTATCAACCAAACTTGTAATATCAAAGGTAGATATACAATTTGTTAGACAAGATCTGTTCTCTGAGAGCTGGTATTGGTCTGCCTTAATTATTTCTGTCTTTTGAGTCCCTTATCTCTATTCCTTTAGTTCCCCAGAGAAATACACACTCATAATGTTTGAGTATTAGAATGATACTGTTTCCTTCCAGTCACCTGGAATGTCTCTAATGTGCAAAGGTTTGTTAAACATATTCATTTAGGAACATAGGACTGGAAGTGATTTGCTGATTCACTGAGTCAAGTGTAGAGCCATCATAGGCAACCCTTCCAAATGTATCGAGTGTCAGCTGCTGATATCTTAATAGTTACTGTCATCAACTTCTTTTGTTTTTCACATCCCTTCTACCAGGTTAATTCTTTAACTAAAGTAAACTACTGTTTTGTGACTGAGGAATTGTGGCATTGCTACATCTAGCAAAGTATTTTTCTAACCTGGCAGTGTTATTAGGCAACTACTGATACTTTCCAGTCACAAACTTGCTGTTTCAGAGTGCTTCCCAGCTAGAATGCTAGAATGTGCTGTTTCAT